TATTGTTCTACCCCTCCGGGAATTTTATCGACGTATATAATATGTTATGCATTTTACGCAATAATGTATAATGTGGGATACAAAATGCATTTATATTGCGATACGAAAAATCGAGAGACGACAGAAAACTTGAAGCAATAAAGTGATCGCTATTTGACAGTTTTGTTCGTGTCGCGAAATCAGTTTCTTGGTAGTTGGAAAATTTTAAGAATTGGAATTTTGGAATTGGAAAATAATTTGACGAATCGAAAACCTGAGAATTCCAGTAATTCGAAAAACGCAAGATGTAAGTTTTTTTGTAGAAAGCATTTCTAGATGAGTCGTTCTTTGTTTCAAGTGCAGATTTACGCGAAATGTGTCACGGGATTCTATCGGTTGGTGCAAAACTCGTCGATCTAACACTGTAGATCGAGTTTTCTCCGTCGATATTTTCTTTTATTGTACGCATATCGCAGACAGCGCCTTCACTTTGAGCCCGCAAAGTCGCTTTCACTCGCTCAATTAAATCTGCACTTTCAACCAAAGACATTCTAGTTAATTCGCGATTTTGCCAATACAAAGCAGAGGAAATCGAGTCTTTTTACTTTTTCATGTCTGCAATTTGCAACATTGTTAAAACGGACTCAAAGTCAGTGCAATTCGCGTAAAACTAATCGATTCGCTCGTCAATTTGTCTTCTCTCTGTCATTACTACTCCGACGGTCATTAACTTCAATTCTCATTGACTCACGACGCGACAAAAATTGAGACTCGATCCATCAAAAGTGTCGACAATTTTTTGTCTTTTTTCCCCCGACAGTTTACCGATTCACACTTTATACATGCAATACGCGTGTAATCGCAAGCACGCGGTGAAACTTATTTCAGATTTCGATAGTCCAGAAATGAGAAAAATAATATCCATGTGTATTCGCGACAATAGCGTCACTACGACGACTGGCGCAAAAGTTGACGCATTCTCTACACTCTTGCTTGCAGCATAGGAAATTGATCTTATCAAAATTATACCGGTCCCGAACCCCTGTGATGCGAGGCGAGTTTTTCGATTGTTTGCCCAGACTAGTGCGATTTCCCTCCACTCGAGAATCGACGAGATCGACCCGGCGACTTAAATCTGCGAGCCGCCGCGGCAGGAAAAATCTTTAAAAATGCTGGCCCCGACGAAAAAAGCGCGCATGTGCAGCCACGAGCCATCTCTCCTCTCGCTCCTCTCTTTCTTTCTCGTTTCCTACCACCGATGCGTTACAGTTCTCCCCGGCTTCGCTTTATGCGTTTCTCGCAGCCAAAACAAATCGTAAAGACGCCCACCGAAGTGCAATCCCATGCTTGTTGCCGAAAAATCAATGATATCAGCACCGGCGGGTTTTATCAAACGCCGAAATATCGGAATCACACAGAGAGACAAGGAGTTTCGCGTTTTTTACGACGAGCTTGCGTAGTTCGTTCTACGAAACTTTGTCGATATTTTCTAGATATTGACTGGTCTCGGCATTTTCTCGATCTCTCTCTCAAGAAGAGATCGACGCCAATTGCGTCAAAGAATTTATGTTGAAAATATTATCTGCTCTCTGTCTGGAATTCTCTACACAATTTTTTTTTACTTTTGTCCTTGGTTTTCGCAATATATTGTTTCAAAAACTTTGCAATTGTATCTTTTATTCTTTCTCTTTTATCGCTATGCGCATGTAATTATCATCAAGATTTCTCTCTGATTTTTGTTGACACAAGTGTTGCGAGTCTCGATTGTTCCAACTTGAAATAAGATATTCATACTGATTGTGAGTGAAATATTGACTCAGTGAACATAACACGTGTTTAAGATTATCAGAGGCAGGTTAAGAGAAAAAGTATTTTCATTTGTTATTATTTTAATATTACGTGATATTGAACGTGAGCAGCAAATTTTAATTTTATCCGAGCAATTAATTTTATTTGCGCAATTGGGATGCCAATCAGAAATTAATTCTGCAGTTGTTGAAACAGTGTTGGGATTTATGGCTCACCCTATAAGAACTTGAGTGATAAACCGGTCGCGGCGAACAAAACGTCATTCAGCAGGGATTCCCCGACATACGTGCTTCTCGTTCTAACCATCCGTATAATAATGCGACTTTGTCGAGCATGCACTATCCGATTCTTACTTGTTACGGGCAATATTTCATCGCAGATTTTAATTTTTGCGACATACTTCATATCTACAATTTGGAATTACAATTTGTTGTCGTCCGAATAATGTTGACAATGATTTTTTTAGCAAACTTATTAAAAGATTATCAGTAATTTAACGATTAGCCTTTACGCGAATCGTGAAAACGCGTATCACAAAATCAACGTAAAGATCTTACGATTGTTTAGTCGGTGAAGTTATAAGTGGATCGTCTCTCATTAAAGTTCGGTCGGACTGCAGCAGCAGAACTTGGAGTTTGCATCAAAGCTTACCAATGTTTATCCGCGCGAATAACAAGAGGAATCGGAAGAACAACCTGGAGATTTTTTAATGCAATCTATCATTAAGAACACTCGTCTACTTCTTGAGCGAGCTGACCGGAAAAAATTCTCGCAATGGAGAGGAAATTAATTTCTAGCTTTGTTTCCTTGTACCTAAAGTGTTAATCTTCCGCCTGAATTGAGTGATTGGCTGAGTGAGCTATTATTACGACAGTTACGATCCTTATTATTAACTATCGTTATTATCATTATAATCATCGTCGAAATTAAAAAAATTGCACTTACAATCATAATAATAGTATTTTTTTTTACCAGGAATCGAATTTTTGAGTAAACGTAAGGGAGTTTCTTGTTTTATTTCGTCGATTAAACTTTCAGTTAAATCGTTTAGTTCCTATGATGTTTTTATCTTAGCTGTCAGCTTCCATGAACTGCAGTCGTAGCTCACAAGAACTTTTTTATTGCTAATGACTTCCTGCGTGCGAAGGAAATTTGGACGATTGCTCCGGGATTCTGGATGTAATTAAGTGTTGCCGGACGGAGATTGAGTTTAATGAGACGTAGCGTTGCCTTGGCAGTGTGAGTCTTGACGGATTTCTTAAAACAAGCCGACACTATAGCCAGATTAACGGATGTATGGGAACAACGCGATACTTTTCTAATACGAGAGTGGATTGTATAATTCGTCCTCATTGTAGAGAAAAAAAATTGTCAGAGTCAGGCCGCACAAATGGTCATGTTAATATATGTAGATTATTGCTCCTGTAATGATATAATTGCCCCGCCTTTTTCTACTGTCATTTTTTTCTACTGATTACATATTGAAGAGAGCTCTGTTACTTCTTCTATTGTATAATTTGCTGAGCCGGCGGAATATAGAAATCGGCGTTTGCAAAACAGTAACTGCTTTAGGAATACACGTTAATTAAATATCCGCGCTATTTATTGAATTCGTGAAACCGCGCAATATTGCAGAGTTATTAATAAGACGATAACGATATTTCGCAGGCACGAATATTGCGTTAGCGTCACTTTTCAATCGGCTGTCTTCCTCTTAAACTGTGATAACGGGATATTATAATGTTGTCGCTCCGGAGATTCCTGGAATAGTTAAATGCGATTATGCGACGGGGATAATCTTGGAATCGCAATAAACTAATCTTGATGCGAGCGCGTTGCGTACGGCATTATCTCAACAAACAACGGTTATGTAATACGAGTAAATGTCGCACAGTAAAAACGATTAGCTATAAATATGGTTGATTCACGTGCAAACGTGCGGATAGCGCGATTTCTCTTATTTTTTTCCCCCGTACAAATCTACACATTTGCGAACTTCGCTAACGAGTATTTTTTTTAAATCGTTCTCTGTCATATAGCATTAACAAATGTTACAGTGCTTTGATTTATCTCGCGTTCTGTTGTATATATATCTAAGCCTCGCTTTTATATCTCTTTGTTTGTAACTAATTAGCGATCGTTCCACTTTTAATGAATTTTTCGAAGTTCCGTTTGATATAAATTGCGGGTAGGGATCGCGCAGTTGCCGCAGGCGCAAATGGTAAAATTTCTATCGGAACACTTTTCACGAAGAGACACTTTTGTATCGGATGAATCATCCGACGAAACAGAAGCAAAAATCACTTTAAGCGGTCTGCACGAAATGCAAATTGAGTGACAAATCCTCCTGGCAAATAAAAGAGTATGAAGGCTAATGTAATTAGCGCGATAAAAGGAGGAATGCCTCGCGATATTGCATAACGTAAATTCCGTAATCGCGAAACGGCTTGAGCCGTCTTATTCGCGATGTAATTGCGTGCGATAATTTTGATTGGACAAGACACACGTCTTAAATCATAGCAGTTTAATTAAAAACTCGGCGCGATATGATTACTTTCCCTTGCGTTTGCCTCTTATTTTCGGTTAATTATAGCCGCATTATTCAAGTAATTAAACGATTAACGGGTAAAAAAGAGGAATCGATAACAAACGATATGATTGCAAGAAGCAATTCAGCCGTTCAAGGACAAAATTCTTCAAGGATTCAGAAATTCAACGAATCGAACACGTGATTCTCTGTCGCGCGAGTGTAATTTTAACACCTTATAAATTATCGACGCGATGCGGAATAGATTCGACCTGCACAACAGCGGTTGAACTTGTGAAGCGTGAACCGGACGTGTCTGGTCATGCGTAACCGGGAACACAGTACGGTCTAGAACGCGCATTCTAGGATCGCAGATTCTTTATGCAAAAGATTTGCGCTTCTTGATTCAATTTTAAAACAAATTGTTCTCAAACGACGTTAGTCAACGAATACGTTTGCAGAATTTAGTTCTATTTCAGGAGCACTGTCTGTGCTCACACTGAATTGTACGCGGAAATTGAAATATAAATGCCACGAATCGCAAAATTAAATGTTTTATTGTTAAATAGGAAAAAAAAAAAGAAAAATAGCGAGTATTTTACGGTACTGCTAATACAAAGTAACGCGCGCTGTTACGTCAGCATCTGCCTAATCGCGAACGCTCTTCTGCATTGTTTGCTTACAGATACTGGCGCGCCCTACGTTCTGTACAAAGATAACATGGAGAGACCCCAGGGTCAGTGGGGCCCGGGGCCGGGATCTCTCCAGGACGGCGGACTGTACCCGCAGCAGCAGCAACAACAGCAGCAGCAGCAGGGCTCCTCCTCGTCGGGAAGCCCACAGCAGGCCTGTGGTCCTCCGGTCGAGGGCGGCGAAAGCGGTCCACCGCCCTCGTTAGCCTCGCCCGTGCCCTCGCCGTATCCCTCGGCGCCTCCGAACCTCAGTCCTTGACACCACCGGACGATGACATACAATCGAGTCAGGCGACGTCCCAGCAGCAGCAACAACAACAGCAGCAGCAGCAGCAGCAACAACAACAACAACAGCAGCAAACGCAGCAGCAGGTTCAGCAACAGGCGCAAGTTCAACAACCACCTCAGCAACAACAGCAACAGCAGACGCAACCGCAAGATCATTCGCCGCAACAACAACAGCTGACTCCTCACGCGGAGGTGGATCGCGGTGATTGTTTCCCCGGCGCTGGTGAGCTGCAACAATACCCGCAGCACTACTTCAAAGAGGCCCGGCCGCATCCCTCGCCGTCCGTGCCACCTCACATGCTCACCCCAGGCGGCTTTTCGGCGTTGCACTATCTCAAGCAGCCCGGGGTGATGTTGACGTCTCTCGGGCAGGGTGACGGCGGACCTAGTTTGGACGCGCATCAGTACGCTAGCCCAGGCGCGCCGAACATGGCAACCGGGCTGCCCGACATCGTGCAGCAGAGCGGCAAGTCGTCCAAGGCCGGCAACAGCGATCTGCGTCTGTTCAAGTGCTTGACCTGCGGCAAAGACTTTAAGCAGAAGTCGACTCTGCTACAACACGAGCGGATCCACACGGACAGCCGGCCGTACGGATGTCCGGAGTGCGGCAAGCGGTTCCGGCAACAATCCCATCTCACGCAGCACCTGCGCATACACGCTAACGAGAAGCCGTATGCTTGCGTGTACTGCGAGCGTACGTTCCGACAGCGTGCCATCCTCAACCAGCATCTGCGCATCCACTCGGGTGAGAAGCCATACCAATGTCCGGAGTGCGGAAAACACTTCCGTCAGAAGGCGATCCTGAATCAGCACGTCCGCACACACCAAGGCGAGCATTTCTCTCTGCCTCCCAGACTCCCCAGAGGGCGTCCACCACAACCACACACTGACCCACCCACCGGTTCTCACTCATTACTATCGCAACCGTCGCCGTCGCCACCGTCACCGTCGGCGTCATCACCATCGTCGTCATTATAATCATCACGTTCATTACCGCCGGCGGTACAATAACCCGCATACTAACGTTTCATCTCGATTCTCACCCCAGATTCATCTGCACCAGTGGCGGATTTCGAGCTCGAGAGAGTAATTGTAAATTCGCTGGACGATGCGTGAGAGAGGTCTCTGAATAATCGGGGTAAATTCACCACTGGTCTACTCCTATATCTCTCACCAGCCTATGCGCGATCTGTTTTTTGTTTTGTTTCAAAAATACCTCGAAAGCTAATAGCGACGATTCACTAAAGGCAAAGTACCGGCAACCGTCGGCAACTCGTTGCCGCTAAGGCCAACCGGGTAAGGGTAAGAACGGTTGAGCTGGACGCGAGAACGCTGGTGAGCTGTGAGATAGAGCAGCCCTTTCCGTTCCAGATCCTAACGCAGCCCGACTCATCATTCATCTAACTCGATTGCCCTCTAATAACTTTAATTTCTCGCGTGCTTCTTCATTCAGGTGGACCTCGGTCTACGAACCAGTGACTACCGCGTCTCTCTTCTTCTACGCCTGTTACTGCTAATAACTTTCAGTGGGGATCGCGATAAATTGGATTACAATAGCTTTTCGAATAACAATTGTGCAAATAATGAATTGAAATGTCTTTTTCGATGTTTCTCCACAGACATTTGTCGCTTGGGTTATTTTCACTGGATTCGAGCAAACGTTCGCAAGAACGTTCGACTCGCGCTAACAATTGGCACGTAGTTAGATCTCTCTCTCTCTCTTTCTCTCTCTTTCTCTCTCTCTCTGTTAATCCGTAATCCGGGCTACTAACATTCCTCTCACCCGTCCGCCGTGGAATACCGCCGATGAACGTAAGCTATTCTCCTGTTACAGACGTGAGTCCGCATCTCATCTTTAAGAACGGTATGACGCCAACGCTCTGGCCGCAGGACGTTCCCTTTCCGCCCGAGGAAGGCAAAGAGGAGGTAGCGTCGACGTTCGGCGACACAGACACGCAATCGGGCGCGTTCAGTCCGGCGCCGGACGCTAATTCCATCCAATATCCTGCGTACTTCAAGGACCCGAAGGGCGGCAATCACGCGGTCTTCGGCGCGGGCGGCCCGGGCAGCTTCGGCGCTCTGCAGTACATCAAGCAGCAAGGCGGCGCGAAGAGCTGTCTACCCGACGTGATACAGCACGGCCGTTCGGCCGGTATGCCGTTGTACGTGCGCTGCCCGATCTGCCAGAAGGAGTTCAAGCAGAAATCCACGCTGCTGCAACACGGGTGCATACACATCGAGTCGCGGCCGTATCCGTGTCCGGAGTGCGGCAAGAGGTTCCGGCAGCAATCCCATCTCACGCAGCATCTGCGAATCCACACGAACGAGAAGCCGTACGGTTGCGTGTACTGCGGGCGTAACTTCCGTCAGCGCACGATTCTCAATCAGCACTTGCGCATTCACACCGGCGAGAAGCCGTACAAGTGCCAGCAGTGCGGCAAGGATTTCCGTCAGAAGGCGATTCTGGACCAGCACACGCGCACTCACCAGGGCGATCGGCCGTTCTGCTGTCCGATGCCGAATTGCAGGCGGCGCTTCGCCACCGAGCCCGAAGTGAAGAAGCACATCGACAACCACATGAATCCGCACGCGGCCAAGGTGCGCCGGAATTCGAGCAGCGATTCGAAGCCACCGGGCACGCCGGCGGGCCTGGGCCCGGTTCCCGTGCCGCGTGGCCTCACGCCGACGGTCGTCAAGCCGGAGCTTTACTTCCCGCAATGCTACGCGCCCGCCTTCAACCACCAACCGCCGGTCTCCACAGCGCAATTTCCCGGCGCACAGGCGAACGGCGTGTCCGTAACCGGCGAGTTCAAGCCGCCGACCGGTCTGCCGCCGCAGTGACTAACCGTCCATCCTGCCGCCTACTAGCAAGCAGGAATCCCCGCGCTGAGGTTTCAGCGCTGCTTTGGTCCCGCCGCG